ACACACACACACACAGGGCAAGGTCACTGAACCTTACACAACGCTGAAATCAGCATCAGCCGATCACTTAAACCGCCTTCCTCTCCTCATCTATAACATACAACCCCCCTTCTGCGCGCACACACACACACCCCCTCCTGGCAATGAAAAAGAAATCCAGGGGAAAAACAGGTTGGCAATCCGAGACCGACTTATTATTTGAAATCCAACTCCACTTCGTGACTGGCTGATCACGTCTAGCTCAACAGGAAGTGTCGAGAAATAGTCTCTCTTTCAAAACAAAATCTAATGACCAAACAAACTAACAAGGTGGGGAAATAATCGAGCAAAACCCTCATTTCCAGCGCTGCCACTGATAATCAATCATCACAATGTGACGCAGAAGGCAGGTGTGCTCTGAGAGTGTGTAATGATGTATTGATGAGTGTTTCCATACCGCTACCTTGGAGACGTTTCACATTTTCTAAATTGCGCCAGGGTAATTCAACATCCGGTTATTAAGTGAATGTAATGAATTAACTAGAAATGATTTTCTCGAGGAAGGAATAATGTAAGCAAGGCTGCGACACGTCAGGGATAAAGCGCGGCGAGCTGAGGATTATTGCTAAATATTTCCTGCCTGGATGGTTTTATAGCTCATATTCATGTTAAAGTAATATATAAGATGATGCCCATGAAATGACTGTAATCATAGGAATTACAGTAGTTAGCACATGTACTCTATAGGTCTATGACAATGTAACCATGGCGATGTACAATCTGAAATGAAAGATCTGGAGAATGTCAGCCTCTAAAGCAAATTGTCCATGAAAATGAGTCCTCCGTGTGCAACGGTTGTTATTAGCGCATACTGTATAGATTTAGTTTCACAACCTTTATTTGAAAAGAAATCATTAAATTCAATCTGGTTTTCAGAAAGTCTTTTCACCGAGGATTCAGTAAAGCTTTTCCTCGCTATGGTTTGATCAACTGCTGTCAACAGCCTTCAAAAACAAAAGCCTTTTGTGGCTCAAAGTGAAATGTAATTCACAAATATATCTTGCTAACACACTAGAAGGATTCCACCTACAGACTGACAAAGTGGGTGTGAAAGTAAAGGGAACAGTGAGACAATCAGGTTGGTGGCTTTAGGAACCCACAGGGGATTATGGGGAAAGGTAAGGTCTGTTTTTAGTGCAAACACATTTATTTGTCAGACGGACACACACAGAGGCTGTGAGTGAAAAAGCAAAGGTTAGCCAGGAATGGAGCCGACAGATAGGTCTAGAAGAGAAGCACACCAAGCAGCTGTTAATATCTTGCGGGTAGTGGTCAGCTGGGGGTAGACGGGAAAGTGAGGGTTAGAGACAAACCAGAGATGAAAACGAGTGGCGTTCAGGTCAGCGAGTTGCTGCCTACAGGACTTACTGACGCTGCTGCAGACAGACAGGCAGTACTCCTCTGACTCAAAGTTATTCCTGTTGCCTCCGCAGCCGCCGTAGATAAACTGAGCACAGCGGCCCTCCTGGTGGTCAAAGTACCAGCGGGGCAGCATGGCCCGGCATGGACCAGTCTCTGCGTTGGCCCAGCACACATCTTGGAGAACACACACACACTTCATCGTCATTCGTGAAGCAGCCACAAAGGTCTCTTGCACACACCATGTCAAGTGTGTCATCTTTTTGTTGTTTCAAAATAAAACACTTGATTTTACTGAACAGGGAATGTAAGAAAAAAAGGCAGGTGTAAGCATTATTAATGCTACTTGGAATTGAATTTAGGAGCAATTTAACATTAAAGTGAAGAAACAAAGCTGGGAACAGCAATTCTGATTGTAATGGAACGTAGCTAATGAAAGCTCTGAAATGACAAATGAGCACAACAAGAAAAAATGACAGCAGGAAATTAATTGATGAAGAACATGAAGTTCAATTGTGTTTAGCAAAGCATAAAAAATGGAGAGAAAAACACGTTTTGTGTGTTGTACTACCGAGCTTGTTCCACATTAATCTCAATGCAGAGACACCTGTAACCTGATTACTGTATGTTCTTTAAAAGCCTTGAACTTAGGTAATTTTCCAGGCTTTTCAAGGACCTCTAGACAATGGAAGCAAAGATATGACTGACAGGACTGTTTATAAGACGAGAACCAAAACTAGACACACACGCCGACGTCTGAAAATGTTCCTCACCCCTGACAACCTCTTCCACAGACTCGGTGGTGGTGGTGGTGGTGGTGGTTGTCATGGCGACGTTGGTGGTGGGCTCGTCGGCGTCATCGTCGAGCGTGTCGACGATGTCGTCGTCTCCCTCCTCCTCCTCTTCCTCCTCCTCCTCGTCTTCCTCCACCACCTCCTCGTCCTCCTCGCCGTCTCCGTCCTGGTCGTTGTCCAGCGCGTCCGCTTCCTCCTCCTCTTCCTCGTCTTCCTCGTCAGCCACCTCCTCCTCCTCTTCCGCGTCCTCCTCTACCACAGATGGCTGCCTGGTTTCCTCTTGCTGCTCTGTTGGCTCCGGCTCCCGCACCATACTGGGAGAGAGGGAGGGGTAAGGAAAAGGGAGGGAGGGGAGTAAAGAAACATATGGAGAGAACACGAGCAATTGGGGGAAGGAAAGGTGACAGAGAAGGAGGACGAATGAGAAGGAGGGAAGGACAGGGATTATAAATTATAACCAACCTGCAGTTTGCTTCCAAGGAGAGAAATTTTATCCTCATGCCAGTGTTAAAAATGAAAGTGGCAGTATCTATGATCATTTGAGGGCTGATGTATTACTCTGCTGCTGCCTTGCCCTCATTTATATGTGTGTGTGTGTGTGTGTGTGTGTGTGTGTTTTTGTGTGTACCTGTTGTCAGAGTAGTCAGTCTCCGCTCCACCCCACCAGACATCCGAATCAGCAGGGTCCTGCTCGGCGCTGTCGGCGTCGCGCTCCGCCTCCGCGGGGCAGCACACAAACTCCACTCCGCGGAAACGGTCGATGCCGCACGGCAACAGCATCCCGTAGTCGTGGAGGTTCATGGTGCGGTCGCCACAGGACTGCAGAGACACAGAACAGATGAGTGGCTGTTCCTTACACAGGATTAGATTTAAATTTTAAATTTAAAAGTTAAATGTTGGACTCAGATGGTTTTAAGACCATTATGAATCCAATTTAAGAACTATTTAAGATCCATACTGGCAAAAAAAGTACAAAGAATATGAAGGAAAATTGGAGTCCCAGAATTACAGTACTTGCAAAGTAAATGTATTCTAACATTCAGTTGCCTTTATACCCAAAGACACTGAAGCATGAACTTGCACTTATCTAAAGTAAAGTTAATAGAAACCATTTTAACCTTTAGAAGTAGCTATTTTTTTATGAGAGAGAACACACACACACACACACACACACACACACACACACACACACAGCGACACTGGAGTGTT